CCCCAAAACCCCAAAACCCCAAAACCCCAGACACTGATTCTAACTTGAAACCAATTATTAATCTAAAGGTTTGTTTCCTTCGGCAATAGCACTGATGTGAGATAGTCCATGTGAACTCAGCAGTTCAGAAACCTTTGAAGTAGATATCTTTCAGCCTTGTACATTGACCTGGGTGAGGGAGTCCTTAAGAGAACAGTTCTTGATTGCGACTATGATTTTTTCAAAGTTTTCAGGAGACTCATCCCAGTTCATATTGCACCAGTCGTTGCATCCTCAATTAAGTAAACTAAGGTAGTTTAGTTTGGCTTGTTGAGGAGATGCGAAATCAAGAGAGTCAGAAGTTGAAATTTTACTCCATCTAACAGTCAATCTCTCAGCATTGGATGCCCATTTGACTATTTGACTCAAGTCTTTACTGTCTATCACCAAGCACTCTAAGTATATCTCTTTGGTTACTCTCGGAAGGATTTTCCTCAGGCCTTGCAAGTAAAATTTTATTTTTACTGCTTTGTCACCTTCATTATCACTGAGATAGCTATGGTTGAAGGCAAAGAGCTTGAGACAGGAAGGAGCAGAGCAAGTCATAAACTTGCTGAGAATAGTGTCCCCATTGACAACTTTGTCAATCTTTAGTTTGTGTATGACCCCAATAGGGTACTTGTTTTGTTCCATTGTCTGCACTAAAGTCTTTGCTGTTTCTTCCTCCATATTGAGAGTCAGATCTGTATGATCAAAGTTTTGTAAAATACTTTTGAGCAGATGTTTTGCTTTCTCTTGCATCTTCACAAGCTGAGTGCTATTTTCCTTCAATTCTATAGATTTAGGCTTATTAAGAATCTTACCTTCTCAAAGTTTGGAGATTTCATCCTCATTCTTTGTGTGCTGATCTTTGGCTTGCCTAATCTCTTCAACTTTCTGTGATAACTCTATTTCAAGTTGAGTCTTGTGATTCAATAGAACTTGATTCTCAGCGAACGTTTCTTGTTTTTGTTTCAGTAAATCTTGGGCTTGTCTTAACACCTGCTCTGTAGCTTGTTTCTGCTCTTCGATTTCAATGTCTTGAGCTTCTTTCTGTGCTTTTAATGTTTGGATACGCTCTTTGAACTCTTCTGAGAGTCTGTCTTTGCATTGCTTTTCAATTTTTCTGGCTTCGTTTTCCAACTTCTTCTCCATCAATTTGATATTTTGCTTTACTACAGCGTCAATTTTATGCTCGACCTTGATGGCAGAAGAGAACTCTACACGTCATACGTGTTGCTTACCATCGCTGACTCTCGGAAGACCATATCTACTCGCATTTCTTGTGGTAGACAAGAACAGAATATCTTTGATGACTTGTTCATCGGCCATATGATTTTGTATCCTATATACCAATGTGGGCTGAAAAACTTCACAAGGTTGGAGAGTGTAAATTTGAAGATACTTGGAGACGTACTGTCTTATTTGGGATCTGAGACCGTTAAATTTCTCATGGTGGTCATGCTCAATAGCTTCATTTATCTTTCTTTCAATTTCAGTCAAGTCTTCTTGATAACCTTTGATGACACTATTGATATTCGAAAGATACACTTCCAAACCATTCTCTGTTGCTAGTTCCTGAAACCTCACAACTAGTTTCTGGACTTCCTTGATATCAGTTCTGAGATCCGTGAGGTCTTGGATGGTGATAAGTTGGCACTTGTAATGCATTTTGGTGGCACATCCTTTGCAGGAATAGACTTTGTGGTCTCTGCAGAAGTAAAACCTATGGTTTTTGCATGCAAGATCGCTGCATTGTAATCTATGGTATTTTTACATGCTCTGAAGCCAAAGATACAACTCAATATATACAAACTTACCTTCTGGGTATGATACGATTGTATTTCATGTTAGAAGCAAATCCTATAATTTAGAAATTAAAAATCAATCCAGATTTATTTACTTGGGGTTTTGGGGTTTTGGGGTTTTGGGG